AGCTCTTCCAGCAACCAAGCTGAGCACGTTAAGTGCGTAAAGTGCATTAAGTGATCCACCAGCGAATGATAAATCCAAGGTGAGGGTAGTAAATAAAGCTACTGTCCCGATTGATAGTTTCGAAATATCATTGTCGGACTGTCTTCGACATTATGGTATCGGCAGGAGCTCTTCCAGCAACGAACCTGAGCACGTTAAGTGATCCACCAGCGAATGATAAATCCAAGGTGAGGGTAGTAAATAAAGCTACTGTCCCGATTGATAGATTCGAAATATCATTGGGCTGGAGAGTGAAATATCGCGTGACAGATTTTTTGGCGTACTATTTCTACACAGGCCTACGTGAAGAACAGTGCGATTTATTACACCCTGGAGCTCAAGCTGTCACTTAGTTCCACCTGGAATTAAAAAGGAACTATTTTATATCGAATTATTTCCTTATTTCAAAAAAAAAACCAAGCGCGCGTGGGTTGCATGTAATTTCGATGCTACTCAACGGTTACCGTAGCTTACGTACGGTACGGTACTATCCCGTACAGTACGGTACTGCAAACACACGTCTAACCCCACATGAAGACCGTACCCGTACAGTACGTACTCGTACTCGTACTCGTACTACGGGGAGTGGATTTGAATTTTTGACTTTTGAACCGAATCCGAACTGCCAAATGCAACACGGCGCAGGTCTTTCCTGTGATGTTCGGTTGGTTCCTCCTAATAGACCATGGGATTCCTTTGGTTCCCTTGCCGTCTTTCCTTTCCCTTTGGTCCGACGAGACAGCGCGGGCCGTGACTGTTCCCGGCACTGGCGGAACACCCAACACAACCATCTCGAAACAATAAAATCCGGCGGCCCCCGAAACGACCATGGCAGCAGGCCCCGGCAAAGAAGCCGAACCTTTCGCAACCTCCACCGGGGGCACGATCGCCACGCCCTACGTCCGGCAAGCCCGCGACGAAACCCCCCTCCCCGGTGCGGCCGCGCCTTTTTCCCTCCGGTCCCTCCTGGGCGGGTGGTGGAGGGAGAGCCTCTGGCCGGGGATGGGCCTCTTTGGGGAATCCTACCTTCTGTTCAGCATCGGAACGCTGTCGCCGCTGTGGAGGGAGCTCTACCCGGTCTGCTTTGGCGAGAACGAACAGGAAGACGGAGGGGACGACGACGAAAGGGCCTACGGCTACGCCAGCGAAAGGTCCTGCTCCCCCCTGCTGCTCGGGTCGCTGGCCTACGGGGTCGTTGCTGGCGTGGTGGTGGGCATGGTCCTCCTGGGCTGCCTCTCCGACCGGATCGGCCGCCGGAGGGGGTCGATCGCCACGGCGGGCCTCATGGCGGTCGGCTCCCTCGGCCTGGTGGGGGTCTCGGCGCTGGCGAGATCTGCGGAAGGGACCGGCCCCCGCCCGGAAGGCCTCTTTGCCGGAACGGCTTTGGCCCTGGCGGTCTTTGGGGTCGGTGTCGGGGGGGAGTACCCGCTCAGCGCGAGCCTCGCGTCGGAAAACGCGGCGGCGGAAGCAAAAGCAGGCTTGGGGGGCACTTGCGGCCGCCGGGGACGGAGGGTCCAGCTCGTTTTTGCGATGCAGGGGCTGGGGATCTGGTGCAACAGCCTCGTCATGCTCGGTTTGTTCCGGATCCTGGGCAGGAGCAACGGCAACGAGGACGACGACGACGACGACGACGACGACGGGAGTTTCGGCTACGACGCCCGCGACTTGCTCACGATATGGAGGGTAACCTATGGAATCGGGGCCTCGGTTTTGTGCTTTGTGCTGCTGACACGGATCTTGTACCTCGAGGAATCCAAGGTCTGGCTAGAGGCCCAGAAAACCAATCGCCACAACAACCCCGACAATGGAACTAACAACAACAGCATTACTATCAACAACAAGAATGGCAGCAATTATGTTACCAACAGAGACGCTCCTCCAATCGATCCTTGCGTCGATTTAAATCGCACCCAAAACAACAACAACAACAACAACGCCTTCGATGCCCATTGGCGCTCCATCGTGCTGGTGCACCAGCAGTACGGATCCCGCATGTTCGGAGCGGGAGCCTCCTGGTTCCTCTGGGACGTTTCCTTTTACGGGAACAAGCTCTTCCAATCGACCATCCTGGAGGCCTTGGTGGGAAAGGACGCGGGCGTCGTCGGGATCACGGAGGCGGCCCTTCTCAACGCCAGCGTGGCGCTGGCGGGCTACTTCTGCGCCGCCCTGGTCATCGATCGCGTGGAACGGAAGAGGCTCCAGTCGGCCGGCTTTCTCGGGACGGGGGCCCTCTTTGTGGCCTGCGGGAGGCTGGTCTCCGCCCTGGATGACCGGGGCCGCTCCTTTTCGGTGGTGGTGGTGGTCCTCTACCTGCTGTCCTCCTTTGTGGGGCAGGTCGGCCCGAACTGCACGACCTTTCTGGTCCCGGCCGAGATCGTCCCGACCGCCCAGCGGACCTACTGCCACGGGGTGTGCGCGGCGGCCGGAAAGGCCGGGGCCCTGGTGGCCTCGGTCCTCTTCCACGCTCTGGGGAGCCGCGGCGCCGGCGCCTCCCTCTTTTACGTGTCGGGGGCGGCCAGCCTCCTAGCGGCGCTGGTTACCCAGGGATTCGTGCCGGAAACCCACGGGCTGGACCTGCTGGACCTGGACCGCCGGTGGAGCCGGCTCCTGCGCGAGCGCGGGAACGAGCGGCGAGAGGGAACCGGAAGGCCGCCGGGACCCGACGAAACGAGCGATTGCGATTTGGAGTGCGAGCCGGGGTGGTCCGGCGGCGACGGACCGTCCGTCCGAGATGCCCACACGAGTCCGTACGAGCGGTACCGGGCCCGGGGGGCAGCGGGAGCGGGGTTTCCGCTGCGGGGGACCGCCACCGGGTGGTTCTCCTAGCGGCACGGGGTCCGGAGGGCCGCCGCAACCGCAGAACAAAACAAAGCGTAACTCTGTAGATGCCGTTGTATTGATTGATACTATTACTGCCTTTTTCCACAATGTTATATAAGTCGGGATTGTCGGCCAAGCCGCGGCCGCAATCCTTCGGCCCTCAACGGTCTGAAACCGTGGAGTTGGTCGCGGCTGCAGCCGGAGCAATCCTTGATGGAGATTCAAATCCATTCTGTTCCCCGCAGTGGTGGTTGTTCCCATTGCAAAAAACAACCGTGTGAATCCCCTTCGCCTCGATACAGTGTTCGTTGGTGGGTGGGTGGAATCAACCATCATTCGTTCTGGTTTCGTTCCCTTGTCCAGTCGAATCGCACTTGCGACGAGCGAGATGACAAGGAATACGTCGATTCAATTTCCACGAACATTCTATCCTCACAAACCCAAAACTTACTTCCACGAAAAATGTTTACCGTCTCTGTCCCAGATACCTGCCGTACATTCTCAACGTACGTACGTACGTACCGTACTATTTCATCCATCTTTCGTATGAATCATGGAAGTCGAAACATTTAAAAAAATAGATTAAAAAAAGACTAAAACAGTTTTGACTGTAATTGGTTCGCTCAGCGGAAGTCTGGGGGGTGGATTTTCAAGAAACTTTCCAATAGGATGTTTTTAGTCGTACCGTAGAGGAGGAAGAGGAAGGAAAATTGTTTTTTTTTGCTTCCTCGTACGAACAATAATTAATTTCAAATTGAGCTACGGAAGAATCTACACAAATTACTTGTATCATGATGTTGTGAGATCTGAAAAGGATCAATAACCTCTACGCACGAATAAGTACAAAATATATATGTTAGGGGTCAGGTTTTTATTGAACACTGATTCCTACTACTAATACAGTGCCTTCGACTTCCACTGCCACCGAAGCAGACCAATTCTTGTTTTCTTTTTCTCTCGTTGCCGTTGGTGGTAGGCATTGCGCCTCCACGACTCACTCACTCTGGGAATGAAATGAAAACCTGCGACAATACGTACATGCTGTACGGATATTACGAGCAGAAATCCTATGGCTAGGACTGACTACCAGTACGAGTACTCGTACAACACGTACTCGTAGGAGGACGACCTCGTAAGGATACAAACCGTTGCGTACAAAGCAAGTTTTGATTCTCTTTTCCACACAAAAATGAAGAACACACGAAACGAAAAACAATGACAACTTCTCTGGCGCCCCAATTTTTGGACCTCCAATAGCGCTGTTGCCACTAGCGCCTGGATGCGACCGAACATGAGCAGTACCGCTACTACTACCACTAAGCAACAAATAGGAAGAGGGGATGGCGAGACCCCCTCGTTCCTTCCATCGGCCGCTTCGGCATCCACTCTCCGCCGTCGGCGGAGAAACAGTTCCCTGGCTTTGACACCACTGCTTTTGTGCCTTTGTTGGTGCTTGTGTTCTCCCATCGGGAAGCTGGACTCGCCATCGCGGCTGCTGTTGGTGGTGGGAGCGGAGGGAGGATCACCGCCCCCGCCGAGGAGGAGAACCAAGGTTCCGCGTCCGGGAAGGGAGCTCCACGGGAGCAAAAGGACCGCCGCTGTGGCGAGCAAACCCAAAACCAAGCCGAGCCTCGCGAAACGGATGCTCGACGACCTCTTCGGGAATGCTTCCTGCGATCGAAGAGAAGGCCTTCTCGTCGTGGCCGCCGCGGCACTCTTTAGCCTCAACGCCGGATTCCTCAACGGGATCACCGTGTCCTCCGCCTTTCTGGCCGGGAAGGAGGCGGTCCGGGACAAGAATTCCGGCTGGATCCTCAACCCGGGGACGGAAATGGTGGCCGGCTGTGCGGGCTCCGTCACCCGGAACGCCCGCGCGTTTGCGGACTTTTCGACCATGTCCCCCGTCTTCTGGTACACCCTCGGGCTCCTCGGTGCGTACGGGGGGGGTGCCGCCCTCGCCGGCTTTCTCAACAAGGAAACCAACACGGCCTACGCGCTCGAGCCACGCTACGGGACGTCCTTTCTGCTGGCGGGCGTCCTGCTCACGGCGGCGCAGGCGGTGGTGGCCACCGGCGGGCCGTCGGCCCTCGTCTTTTTCGCCGCCACGGCGTCCCTCGGGATCCAGAACGGGGTTGTCTCGCTCTACAGCGCCAACCTCATCCGTTGCACCATGACCGGGGTGGCCACCGACGCGGGCCTGGCGCTGGGTCGGTGCCTCCACGGAGATTACCGCACCGCCTCGGCGGGGGCGGTCCGGTGCGGGATCATCGCCTTCTTCTGGGCCGGTGGGATGCTGGCGTCCCCCTCCGTGGCATCGCTCGGCCACAGAGCGCTCTGGATCAACGCCGGGGTCTTTTACGGCCTGGGCCTCGGCTGCGCGGTGCGCTGGAGGCACGGGCTGGGCGGGGCCGCCACGCTCTGGCAGGCAATGCTGGGCAGCTGGAACCCCAGGGAAGCGGCGGCGGTGGTCCTCGGCTCGAGCCCCCCGGCCCTTGCCGCCCGGGAGGGGTGGAGGGCGCTGTTTTCCGGGGACGATCGTTTCGCCGCGAACCGGGGTGCGAGAGCAGCCGGAAGGGAGCAGGCAAGGCTCACGGAGGCCGAGTTCCTCGCGCGGCTGCGGCGGCACGAAGGCCTCGGCCAGGGGATCTCTGCGTTTCGGGCGAGGTTGCTCTTCCGGGCCGCCGATGTGGACCAAGACGGGACCGTGGGCCTCGGGGAATGGGAAGCGGTCCTCACCACCGGTGAATCGGGTGGGACAAGCAGCAGCACCGAGTGATACGCCATTCCACTTTTATCTACGTTGCGATCGGTCGGTACCGTGCTATTCGGAGCACCAGACAAGTACGAATCACACTGCCGCTACCAAGATTTTGGTTTATGGCTGGGGCAAGAACCACAAGGAACCCCATCATGATTGCAAGGACTTCTACTTCCATTAAAAAAAATCGGTGGAAGAAAAAGGAGGTTCTCATAGATGATTCATTATCCTTGGACCTGTTCCTGAATAACATTCAGGAAAGAAGAGCACTGCTTCGTTCGTTTTCCACAAGTAATAAGTAGTACGGTACTTTTCTATTTTGCTCGCGACTTCCGATTTGGTCTCCTTTTGTAGTGAGACAAAAACACGTCATAAAAAAATGAGGCTTCACTTCGTTAAAACAAAAAACTAGTCGAAGCTTATGATATCTTCGTAATTCAGGTTGGGTTTTCAGTACAACTTACTGTAAAACCGGTATAGCAATTAAGTATCTCAGGACTCAAGAGCCGTAATTCAATATCATAGAAAAGAACGGGACAGATCATCACTTTCAGTACTTCAAGCAGAATTATTGTTTAACTCCAAAACTTCACCAGGAGAGCATTAAGTGAGATTCCCTTTTTGGAGGTTTGTTTAAACAGCTTTGTGGTTGTTCATTGACTTCCAATCCCATATGTTTATCTTAAGTGTCGGAAAAATTCTTTCGAAAAAATGAGTCAACTTCTTTGTACTGCCACACTACTTTTCGTAAAAAGAACGAAGAATACCGAGAACAGTGAACAATAGAGAACATTTCGAATGAGGTTCTCTTTCGTACAGCCCATTGGCTTATTATGGTACATACGGCAAGGAAAAAAATCGATTTTAGGCCTCATAATTCTCTGCAAGTGTCAATCGAAAGTAGATCACATTAAGTATTCTACATAAAATAAGAATGTTGTTTATAGGATCTTCATCATTTTGGCACATAGCTTTTCCATTACTATTTTATCTTCAGTCACAATTACGTTTTGTACTGTTCAATTCGAAATGTAATTTTCTTCTTTTCATGGGTTCCCTAATAATTGAAGACGTTTAATTTTATCGATGGTCTCGCATTTGGAAACAGCTCGTCTAGGCTATTGAACCTATGAAGAAAAAAAAGTCGAAAAACTTCCCCGATCTGTCGAAAGATTTTTAGAATCACGTTGTTTGCTACCGTCGGACGCTTGAATAGATGATTCGGAAGTAGCGACAACGGTGCGTATCGGAAGACATCTTAAAACTTTGAATTTCGATACAAATACCTGTCTATCATCACCAGTTTTTGCAATTATCTTTGCCTTTGCCTTGCTTTCTGTGTCGACGGCGCTTACGATCGCCACTCTCTCTCTCTCTCTCTCTCGCCGCTGTTTACAACAAGAAGAATTAGCCAGCCGTCCGTTTTGCTTGTCTCGGATCTCGCCATCAAGGCTCTGCTTCACGGTCCTGTTCCCGCACGCTGTTTCTAGCGAAATAACTGCCTTAGGCCATTCGCAGTCGGCCGGTGGAATCGGTATGATGAACTACACCATCCAAATGGGAAATCCCAGCCAGGTCAGTCCCGCTTCCCATCTCGGGGTCGAAGCCATGGGTCTCTTGAAAGCACGCCTTCTCGTACAGCAACAGCAGCAGCAACAACAACAACAACTATTGCAGAGCGCCCACGGTTCTGCATTTGCCGCAGCTGCTGCTCGGCATGCCAGTTTCGTACAGCACCAACAACAACAGAAACAGCAAATAAATCAATTGAATAATCCGGCGGCCATTGTTGCGGAACTGCAACGGAGAAGCCACTCGTTGCCAACCGCTGCGACAGCCGTTCTGACGGAATTGCAACTTCGGAAAGCCCTTATGGAAGGCTCGAACCCCATTTTCGGCGCAAACCCAACACAAGAAAATATGCAGGAATCCAACGAAGTATCAACAATGACCGCAGCAACTACCAACACTGCATCGCCCACAAATTCCAAATCTCAAAAATCACAGGACAAACACAGCGCAACTGCCTTTCAGTTCCCTTGGAAATTGCACGACATGTTGGATCGAACCAAGGCAGAGGGCAACGAGAATATCGTATCCTGGGTCGAGGGCGGAAAGGCCTTTCGCGTACATGTGACAGAGGCATTTGTGAATGACATCTTGCCCAGATTCTTTAAGCAGACGAAATACAAAAGCGTAAGTATTCTTCGTTCTTCTTTCGGTGCCAGAGAGCGGTGGCGGTCGCCTAGTCCAGAGAAAATCGTTGCGAAAAATCTTGAAGTTCCAAAAGCTGACATGTCGCATTGTCATTTTGTCTTTCTCTCTCTGTCTTTGTCTGGGCGCGGACTCGAAAACACAACAGTTCCAACGCCAGCTCAATTTGTATGGCTTCACCCGTCTCCACAATGGACCAAACAAAGGCGGCTATAAACACACGTATTTCCAACAAGGACAGCGATCCCTGTGCCAACTCATAAACAGAAATTCATCTTCAACTCAAAACAGTATTGGAGTTCTGTCGAATACCATTTCAGAATCAGAAGCCATCAGAGACGACGCTTTGAGCAAATATCGGAACAAGAAGAATCACAGTAACGATATCAATATAAGTGACAGTTGCAATCAGGATAGCAATGATGCCGCTACGGGCGCAACATCTAGTGCGCAGTTGATTTCGCCAAGAAGTCAACCTATTTTGTCGAACCAGGTTCCTTCTTTCACAAGGATACAGGGACACGATGCAGCGATTCGAATCAAACAATTCCAAAACCAACAAATACTTGCCGCCAAACAGATGCAGCGGAAAGAAGAGGAGGAGCGATTGAAACAGCGATTGAAAGGATACGAAGCTGAACGACAGCTTCTACAGCTGCAGCAATCGCGAGAAGATGAAGGGAAAACGTGTGCCACTGGTCTTTTCGACACATCAACACTGATGGGGAACGATCCCCGAATCCTATCGCCAGGAGTGAACAGAGAGAGTTCTCTTCCCGCTAGTTGTACGGAGAGGGACGTTGCACCTACTATTGATATCGATGCGTTAGGTACCAAGGCTACACTCGATACCAACAATAATGCCAGTGATCGAAATTTTCGAACAGAGGAAGAGTCTGACGACAAAATCAAAGACGTAGCGGATGCTTGTGTTTCTGTTTCGTCAGCTGCATCTATTCGAGAAAATACCAACAAATTGGGTTCCGAAAAACAGAAAAACTCTCTCGTGTTTCACTTTCCCTACAAACTCTACGAAATGCTTCAAGAGGCCGAAGCGAACAACTTTGCTCATACAATCAGTTGGCTGCCAGGAACTTCTTGCTTCAAGGTCCACGATACAGGTAACTTCGTGAATAGAATCATGCCATCCTATTTCAAGCAAACCAAGCTCAAGAGTTTTCAGCGACAACTTAATCTGTACGGTTTCATACGAATCAGTTCCGGGTTTTGCAAGGGTGGATACTGCCATCCAAACTTTATCCGAGGACGAAAAGACCTTCTGAACGCGGTCCTTCGGATGAAAATCAAAGGCACCGGGAAAGCCAGAGGCAAATATCGCAGCAGTGCCTCTGCCAATTCAAAACGAAGTGCCTCATCTATGGCATCGTTAGCCCAAAACAAACTCCTTGTCGATACCTGCAGAGGAATATCCACAACATCCCTGATGTGCGATGTCCCGACCAGTCCTGGAGGAAACTCGGCAACAGAATCTGGTATCGACGTGATCCTAGAAGCCATCAAGACAAGGGAACGAAAAGACACGCACAACACCTCTAATGTGCAGCCCATAGAAGATGATTTACCCGGAAGCAGCAACAGCAGCAGGTGCACAGTACCATCCACAATAGATGTAAATATCAATGATTCAGCGGATGTTAGGAACGCGGATGGATTGAGTTGGAGAATGGACCCATCCGAAAGTTACAGTGACTGGACCATCGATGTTGTCTCAGACGAACGCGTTTCGTACCACGTTCATCGCAGGGTGCTTGCAGTTGGCCCCAAAAAGTCAGACTACTTTGCGAAGATCTTTAAATCGAACATTGAAGCGAAAAATTCTACTAATCGAAATCAGCTTCATTTGAGCAAGAGGGAGGCGGCTGTCTTTCCAATGATACTCGACTATATTTACGCCGACGTGGAGTTTGATTTGGACACAGAAAAGGCATTTGCGGTAAGTTCTTAGGGCGTGTTAAATTGTTGTTGTCACCAGGTAGACCATGAAGAAGCAGAGGCTGACTGACTCTTCTTTTGCCTTCGAATTTAAAATAACAGCTCTACAGTGTCGGCGATAAAATAGAGAATGAATCAATCTTAAAAAGAGTGACCGACTATTACGCAAAGGGCTGCATGTCCAAAGTAAACATTGTTGATTTCATCAGACTCGGGCAAAGTTTCGATAATACAATACTTCTCGACACCGCTCTTCTCCAGTGCTCGAAAGATATTTGGTCCATGGATTACGAAAAAGTTGCAGATATGGAACCCGGGATGCTGTATCAAGTTCTGATTTTTGCTGTAGCAAGAGACGAAGAAAATGCGGAGAAGAACACAATCAAACTCAGTGAAATAGTCGCTACATGCATCTCCAATGCCACCCAAGCCACTCTTACGCCCGAGATATTCCGTTCACTTACGGACAAATCCATGCTGCCATACATAGACCCAATTGCAGCGATCAAGCTATTGGCAACTGAAAATATAATATTGAACAGAATTCATGAATCCCCCTTGGAGGGCGATTCTTCGCTGCACGAAAGATGTATTTCTGCCATCAGTGAAAACTGGGGTTCTCTCCGACAACAGCTTGCAAAAAACGGGGAGCTGTCCAACATGATGAGATCGCTTTCATCTATTCTTCTTTTCAAAATTTTGATGAAAGCAACGCAACCAGAGCGTCGATGTAGCGTCAACAGCTCTGACAGCAGCATTACATTTTAGTCTGCAATCTCATTTTCAGTTCAACGATACCATTTGTCGGCAAATCGCGATGTCGGCAGGAACTCGTATTACTGTCCAGTAGAAATTATGGATACACGTATACTACATTACTTATAGTTAATAAGATGCTTTGTTAAATGATTATCAATAAACAATGTCATGTTACGCGTCATCTCTCTTGTAGCTGGAAATGAGATGCTATCGCTCTCGGTTTTCTATAAACAAAGTAGTAGTTGCCTATTGCTCCGCAAGCTTAGCTTCCAATTCGGCGATCTTGTTCTCCAATTCCGCGAGAGCCGGTGTCTTGGGTGCAGCCTTGGCGATTTCAGCGGGAGACATCGTTCCGAGCTCGTCCGTGACGCATCCCTCGGTGGCGGTGGCCACGCACTGGATGTACTTGAACAGGATTCCGGCATTGGCTCGGAGTGGAGGAGGCGTCCACTCCTGTCGTCGCTTCTCCCATTCGTCGTCGGGAATCAAGACGTCGATGGTACGCTTGTCGTTTTGTGCGTCGATGCGGATGGGGTCGCCGTTCTTTACCAATGCGATCGGTCCGCCGACCTGGGCCTCCGGAGTGATGTGCCCGATGCAGAATCCGTGGGTTCCTCCGCTGAATCGCCCGTCGGTCAATAGGGCGACATCGTTTCCGAGACCTGCTCCCATGATAGCACTAGTTGGAGTGAGCATCTCTGGTAGACCGGGTCCCCCGGTAGGTCCCTCGTATCGGATGATGACAACATCTCCCTTCTTGATTTCCTTGTTCTTCAGACCCTCCATCATCAAGGGTTCGCTATCGTAGACACGGGCGGTTCCCTTCGAGTGGCAAGCACCGGCAGTTATAAAAAAAGACGTCACATCGAAGAATTGTTAGGAAGAAAGAAACAGAGGTAGCAATCAGGGACAAGACTCGTCCGATGTTGCGAGGATTTGATTCTGCGCACTTACCGTGAAGGTTTCTCCCTCCTTTCCGGTGATCTTGGCAACTCCACCGCCGGGGCACAGGTTTCCGTACATCATGAGCAAGTGCCCGGTCTTCTTGATGGGATCGTCCAGCGGTCGGATGATTTCCTGACCAGGGGTCAGACCGGGGTGGTTCAAGTCCTCGAGGTTCTGCGACCAGGTCTTTCCTGTGACGGTCATCTGGTCTCCGTCGAACATGTCGTTGTCGATCATGAACTTGATGACACCGGGGGTACCACCGATGTTTTGGACATCCTCCATGACGTACTTTCCGCTCGGCTTGAGATCCGCCAGGAAGGGAGTCACGTCGGAGATGCGCTGGAAATCCTCGAGAGTGATGTACGAGTCGGGGTTGCGGGTGGATCTGCTCATAGCGATAAGGTGCAAGACGGCGTTGGTGGATCCACCGGTGACCATGACGATTCTGATAGCGTTTTCGAAAGCGGCCTTGGTCATGATGTCGCGGGGCTTCAGATCCATCTCGAGGAGCGTCTTCATGGCCTCTCCGGCTTGACGGCATTCATCCATCTTCTCCTTAGAATCGGCGGGCGACGAGCTCGAAAAAGGCAGCGACATACCGAGGGCCTCGATGGCGGTAGCCATGGTGTTAGCGGTGTACATACCACCGCAGGCTCCCTGCCCGGGGCAGGAATGCCGGACGATCTCCTGGCGTTCCTCCTCGGAGATCTTGCTGTAGAGGTGCTGCCCGTAGCTCTGGAACGCGCTGACAATATCGAGGGATTCCCCCGTGGAGGGCTGGTGCCCGGCGCGGATGGTTCCGCCGTACACCATGATTCCCGGTCGGTTGAGCCGTCCCATGGCCATGATGCACCCGGGCATGTTCTTGTCGCAACCGGGGAGGGCGATCAGGCCGTCGTACCACTGGGCAGACATGGTCGTCTCGATGGAATCGGCGATCAGATCGCGGGACTGGAGGGAGAAGCGCATACCGGAGGTTCCCATGGAAATACCGTCCGAGACACCGACGGTGTTGAAGCGCATGCCGACGCAATCGGCTCCGACGACACCCTCCTTGACGTACTCGGAGAGCTCGAGGAGGTGCATGTTGCATGGGTTTCCCTCGTACCAGACGGAGCAGATTCCGACCTGTGGCTTGTCCATGTCTTCCTCGGTCATCCCGGTGGCGTAGAGCATGGCCTGGGAATTTCCCTGGACGGCGGGCTGCGTCAGGACGCTGGAATTTACAAAATAAGAGTGTTGCGGTTTCGAGTTCGGGTTGAGTCATTGTTGTTGAGGTTGCGAAAGCGGTTGCGATTCATTATGCGGCGAAGTGTTGCGTAATTCCATCATTAAAATAATACATCAAATAATAATGCAGTCAAACAAGAGTTTGTCGAATGTGTTGGTTCCAAAGAATCCGTCGTCGATGCCCGAGATTGTTAGTTCGTGAGTATTGTCGTAGATTGGTTTCGTAGAATGGTGGGATGCGGTGCGATGTGAAATAGTTTAGTGGCAACAACATTGAGATGTGTGAATTGTCCGTTGATTGCGAAACGAAGAATTGGTGAGACTCCCTACCCAAAGTGCAGCACAGCACAGCACAGCACAGCATCGCAGCACAGCACAACACAGCACAACACAGCACAACACAACTTACCTACTGTATCGGTTCGTGATCGGTTCCTCGGCATCATCGGCCATGAACAACGACGACGTCGAAGTCTTCGTCCTCGTGCTGGGCATTGTTGTGAAGGCCCATGCCGTCGACGAGAAAAGAGCACAAGCGGCCGTCAGTGTGGAAGCTGCGATCTTCATTGCTGATTCTTTCGTTATTGATCGGTGTGGTGTCAACTCTTGTTTTCTTTGACAGATGCAACCGGGTATTGTAGTGTGCGTGGGTGCTTTCGAAGTCGCGAGGGAAGACGAGAACTACTCGTACTCGCATTCGCAGCAGGCAACAGAGTGATGCGCTGATTGATGGGCAAAATGAATCACGATGCAGAGATCCTCCATCGGACGAAAACATCAACCGCAAAACACGAGAACACTTTTGCTGGGTTTTCATTTGCTGACGGTTTGATGGAACGATACGTACTGTACGGTACGGTACTCGTATTCGTTCAAACCGAAAGCGGATGGACGGCTCTGGCCGAAAAAGTACCACTGACGATTGACAGACGTCGGAGGTACGGGAGAAAAAGCGAATCCGAAGTTTTCAACTTTCCCTATTTGATGACACATGACACCCGATAGTAGAAGTAATGGGTCATTCCCGTAAACACAGATCTATGTAATATTGAATTAGGCTTCAGTCGTGCACACATAGAAGTATGTGTTTTTGACACAAATACATAGATTTTTGGTC